TCGCAGTTAGGGGTGTCATCTTCGAGAGATTTGAGTGAGGGTCGTTTCATTGGCTTTATCTGGGTTAAAAGCGGAAAAAGTTTGATTCATCTCATATCCAGGTTGCATTTGTAAACTATCAGATGCCATTCGTAACCAGATGACAAGATACGTGTCGGCGTCCGAAACGTGACACCGAAATATCTTCAGAAATCCTCAATGACAATAGCCTGGGAACTAATGATATTGGGTCATGTGACAGTCTTTCTTTGAGACGATCGATCCTCATCACGAATAATGAATTTTGATGTTGTCTGATGCTGGATTGGGAGACAACAACTACGTTCATTCACTGGCTTGATTGACGATCATTCGACCTACCATTGGTAAGAGATTTTCATTCGTGATTTGTGGCACTAGATTCTGACATGCTTGCCGGTTTGAGTTACAAACTTAGCCCTGATTTTCAAACGGGACAGTTTTGGTAAAGCTCATCATAGACCACTGAGTTGAATTCTCTCGTGAAATGGTTCTTTTTCGACGTATTCATGCCTCTCACGGTTGTTTTTTACTTGCTCACCCTATGATTCATAAAATCGGGAATTCGGTTCGAAAGATTCGATGTTAAAAAGCTAATCTTAACATTTCAAATGATTTTAACACACTAAAGGCTTTTTTATTATATTCCACCACTAGATGTATCAATTTACATTTTCAAGTAGAGGCTGTTCCTTCGCTACGGCCAAGAATACACAAGAATGCACATAAATTATCCTGACAAAGTCTAATAAATTTGGACCAAAACTATTTTTTTTTTAATATTGTAGCACTTTTTATTTTCATAGAACAATAAACGTTTAGATTTAACCCGCTAGTAGCTCAGACGGAAGTCAAACATGCTAGTTTGTACGTAAGGTCTTGGAAAGAAGCGTTTCTCAAATCTGATCTTTGTTTCAACTTACTTCCGGTGAGACGTTCGAGAGCGCGAGACTTCCGTAATTTGACATCAGCGGAGAACCTTCGTAAACAATGCGTCAAGTGACGTGGCGGAATCATTCGCTGTGGTGAGTTCGCGGAGAGAAATTGATTAGCATATCTGTAGGAAAGTTTGTATCTTCGAGAACTTTGTTGGACTCACCAAACTTCATTCCACGTTGTTGCACTGTTAAACTGATGTTTCCCTTGGTCCATCGGTGATCTCTGGCTTCGTCCCGTCGGGAGGAAGTCCCAGAACTCCGTAATGGATTAGGGGATCTCATAGGTGCGAGAAATCCTAGCTTGAGCACCGTGAATTCGTTCTACACATTCGTCGCTCTAGTAGTTTCTACCTCTAAAGAATTACTGAGGTCAGCCTATAACATGGCACAGATTCCAGGCGTTTTTAATGCCGCTCAATATTTTGGTAAGTTTTTTTGTAACGCTTGTAATGCACTGTAATTCAACTATCGCGTTGTAACCTGTTCGACCAGCTTCTCGATTTCGACCAGCAAAAGGCAGCCTCGAAATCAATGTTATGGATGTCACGAAGGTCGAAATAGATATTGGGAGGGTGGGACAATCATGTTCCTTGAGATTAGTTTAAATTTTTATTTTTCAATTGCGTGTTTTTGTTTTTATTTGAAAAGTTTGTGAAGGTAAATTTGTTACACTATCTACACACATGTTACTTCCGGTTGAGCGATACAAGCCGATTTTGAAACGGTGAAACACAAACCTTTTGAATCGAATAGAAATTACCATCTGCGGATTAGCCGTGAATAGTTTTGGTTATAATATATTTGTTTTATATTTAAATTAGTTTATCAAAGTCACGGCTGAACTTCTTGTATCAAAAACGTTAAGTAACCTAAGCAAGCAGTTTTTCTGTGCAGATGGCACTCAGGAAATGCAAGATATTTATTTCACTTCTTGTAAACAGGCATGTGTGTTGAATATTGTCTACTTCCTGTAATGTGCGTTGAAATGTCTTTTAATCTAATCAAACTAAATCAATGTCACAGGAAAAGAGCATTTAGAGGTGAAAATACATTACAATCTGAAATCAAATTACAGCAAAGTATAAGTAATTTTGAAAAGTTAAGTTCAGCATCTATCTTTTTTTCAGGGCAACATAAACAAACATGTGGGAGTTTACTAATGGCACAAATTTTTACTAAATAATTGATTACTAATAAAAGTAAACAGGCATTTTTTTTTTATATTCTGCTCTGAATTAATTTACCTAGTATATAACTTGCTAGGGGCTACAGTACATGTTTTTTTTCTTTTCTTTTTTTTAATATAATAACAGTCTAGTAACTGTATACAAGAGTCACAATATTTATGTACTATGGACAGATGTAGTTATTGTCATGACACAGTATTGTAAATATCATTAACTATCTTTATTTGAATTTAAGGTGGTTCTAGCCAGAATAAAGGTCAACAAGACTCATTTTGGAACCACCAATCAAGCAGGTACATTGTGTATCTTCTTAACTCCCATGTTCTAATCGTGAATTGTCCACTCTAGGTGAGACCAATTTCACAGACTAAAGAAGCTGTAGACTGTTAAACAACTTCTCCTTGTCAGTATCATAGGAAATATTTAGAAAACAGAATGGAGAATATGCTTTCTGATCTAAGGATGTAAATGTTAACTGTCTGTGTTTCGGAGACCAGTGTGATTTCCAGAGATTTTCGTCTCTAGGTTCAAAAAGATACTTTTCTTAGCACTCAATTATTTTGAGAATGATTTAAAGTAGGGGTGTTGATAATGACCATTTTTTTACTGCCTCCTTTCAGTGAAAATCATTTCACAGGATCAGAAGCTCTGCAAAACTCTTCTGAAGTAGCAACATCTCTACCAGGGAACGTGGATCCTTTTATGAGTAGTACACAGGTAAAAATTTTGACAGCGACATGAATATTAATTTTTCATCGCATAAACCTGGTTAATACAGAAAGGGTAGTTTATTGATGTAAAAAAAAAAAAGCAGAGAAGGACTCTTGGTTCAATATTACACATTGCACTCATTACACCTGTGTGCTTGTCTCTGGAATAATTCATTCAGCTGGCAACTGTCTTAAATTTAATGCTCAGGTACGATAATTTAAGATGAAAGGGGGCAACCTCTTGTTCTCCACCCTATGGGGACTATAATGAGTGCAGCTTGGAACCTTGAACTGAAAAATGCACTCACAGATAATTTTCAAAATGTTGAGGTATACAAGCAAACACTAAACATTGTAAAGGCAAAAAAGGGACATACCAATTTTTTTTAATTTGGTGGAAAATATTGCTACGTGCCAGGGAAGAGATGAAGAAATATAAAAAGGGGAGACAATTGTAGACATTTTCCTCAACAGCTAATGGCCAACCAGCCTAATGGCCTGTTCTAATATACCTGCCTAACAGTGACTATAATTTTTTTTTTTGCATAGAATGAATTTGATGGTTGGGATGAGTGGCCAGTTGAATTAGATGTATTGCTTGGCAATACTATCGCCCATCATTATGATTCGGTAAGAATACTTTCCCTGCAGTTTGAATGTATTCAAAATGAGAGTAGTGGTTTTTTAATTTATTAACAGATTAAATTTTATCAACTTTTGTTTGGAATCAGTATGCCCATTCACACTTTTCCTATTTTGTAGGAAAACATGGAGGGTTATAGTGATTCTCAACTTGTTGTTCCTCCACACTACAAGGACGAGTTGACAGGGAGTACTACTTCATCCTCACAGTCATCTCCAGCCATAATGGATAACAATCATGATCAAAGTACATGGGTTGAGGAAGAAACCTCCCCATACAGTTACCCAAAAGTCGCAAATATTGTTAATCAGTCTATGACTCCACAAATGGATTCTTCACAAAGATCATCCTCTGGGGCTGACTTTTTTGATTCCTTTCAACCTGATGCAGCGGTGCAGGTTAGCTATTCATTAACCATCTAACCCCAAAGAGTGAGTAGCCTCTAATTTTTCCCTTAGATATCACCCATGAATCACACATTAAGTCACAAGAGTATAGAAAATGATCACCAACTAAGCAGATGCTCTCGATTGTTAAACCTTTATACCCTGACATTGATTGGTATGCATATTCTTCATACTGCTCTCTATACATTTCCTGGGGTGCTGACAAGGAGAATTTGTTTTATTATCACTCAGAGCTTCTTCAGTTGATGATCATTTCCTTWWT